ATCAACGAACCACCTAAATATAGAGCAGTCCAGACATTCCTTGACCATCATTCGGGAGACCAAAAGCCCATACATATTTATTGACCCCGCGCAATCATTCAGAAGTTGGTGGGTGGTCTGCATAGCGTCTACGTTTGACACATTAGTGTAAGGGGAGATCACCTCAAATGATTTTTTTATCGTCAAACGCGTTTCTTCGGAATTGAGTCTTTCGCAATTAGTCAAGAAAAGTCATGGTGTTGCTGAGATGGGCAGGGATGACTGTTAGTAATAGGGCCAGCAATAGGTTTGACAGCCGATAAATTCTGTCGGTGAGACTTCCTACACTGCTNTAGGACGGCGGAAACGGTCTCATCAGGTGGTCAAGAAAAAGTAGAATCCGAGGAGCTTGCTACAAAAGAGGATATCTTCAATGGGTATCCACTGAGGGACTAGTGCTCTGACAGATCAGCCGGCTTCAACTAGAAGACCGCATATCTCGTGCAATTTCTTCTTCTTAGGACTTGGGATTCCTTGAGTTGCAGATAGCATTGCAGAAAATGGGTGGTCTGTTTGTTATGACTATTTTCTGTCGCGGTAAGAAGGCTACCTTGACAAACCGAAACAGTTAGCTGGTACGTCTTTTAGAAGAAGCTATGTTCGACATTCACTTAATCTTGGCATGATGGCTCGATGTCTTAGGTGTTCTTCTCTGAAGTTCTCTCTCTGTTCTTCTCGGCCAATGCACAATTTTTGTCAGGCTAACCTTTCGGTCAGTCGCCTTCGTCAGAGCCTGAAGCCAATAAACGACGTGGTTTGGACGGTCTCACTACGTGGTTAAGAACAAGTAGAATCCGTGGAGCTTGCTCGGAAAGTGGCTATTTCTAGTGGGTATCAGCTAAGGGACCAGGGCTCTGGCAGACCAACACGTCTGAAACCTCACTTGCAAGACTAAGAGTTCATCGAAGGTGCTTTTTTGCCCTCCCTCCGTCAGTTCAGATGTGAGAATGGCTTTGCGTAAAGGTGGTTTTGATGATACGGTTCGGGTGGTTGTGGTTTCTCCTACAAATCCAAGGCAGAGACTGGTCCAAAACCTTCTCTAGGATCGTTTCTGCATTAGCACCCATTGTGTCCTAACGGGCGAGGATATGACTGCATGGCGTCAGGTGTGGTCTTCTTGATCACATGCAAGCTCTGCGGAGATGAACGAACAGGCGAGACCGGAACACTCCTAATATGCAGGGTTAAGGAACACCTGGAGGTCCTGAAGAGATCAAGGCCTAAAGTGATCCTGGGAGACTATAAGAGGCATCGCCTCGAAGACGTAGAGTTTCAGTTACCAGTCGGGATTTTGTTGCGGGAGCCCACGATCTCAGCTCACGATCGAAAAAGTTTTAAAGCCTTCCGAATCAGCGCGGAAAATCCAAAAATAAATCGGAAAGATGAATGTTTTGCCGTAACTAACCTCGAGGACACTCAGAGTCCACCTTCGGTGGAAGATTTAGATAAGCAGCGTTAAAGGGAAGGCTAACGATCTTCTCTCGGACGGTGCAAGACCTTTCTTTCTAGCTTAAAGTAGGTTACCTGACGTGATTTGCACGACTTTTCCAGGTATCTACAGGCCACACTTGAACTAAGCTAAGGGCTCAACTTTGTTTGATCAGGCTGAATCTCAAGGTTTTTCGACTTCTAGGCTATAACGAATGCAAATGGCCGAAACTTTAGTCGAATAAAAATCATAATATCTGGGCCGAGTCTTCAGAGAAGAACACCCAAGACATTAAAATATCAAGCCAATGTTAAGTGAGAGTCAAACATGGTTGCTCTTAAAAGAAGTGTCTGCAGCAAGACTACTGCACCAACCTAGCATTTTACTTCCGCTTTCAGTGAGAAACATCTCTCTATATAACTTTTGCCGGTATGCCATTGAGGAGATATTTCCATCTGTACGCAAAATTAATTGTGACAATTGATTTGAAATAAAACTAATTATCGCCTTGGTGTACTCGTTTCCCATAGAATTCCCATAAGTTTATTGCAGGATGCCCAACAAATCATGAGAGCCTGCGACAAAAAATCCGGACAGGATAAATTCGAAGCTGTAAGTTCAGTAAATTCTCACTCCTTTGAAAAACGTATCTCTAAGCTGTGGGTGGAGCTGCTGATCAACATATTCATCGAATTTCAACAAATTAAAAATCTTGGGCACGATGGAAGCGCAAAATATACCCCAAAGGTCCTGTCATTCGGTCACGACAACATTTGTGGGTTGCATCACATTGGACCTTTCCCTGGGGCTAACTCTCTTTTCTTTTGATTATTCCCCTCCATGACGTGCTGATCTTCAGATATATATTTCTGCAAAAGAACTTGGTATTTTCCCTTTATTTTCTCTGGAAGTAGGGTCCAAGGTTGTCTTACAAATGTGATGATTCCAAATTTAGTTCAAAATATTGGCAACGGCTAGTCCTAGTCACCTCGCTTATGTATACACGGAATTAGAGACTATATCTGGATATTCAGTTGAAAAGACTATTGAACACGAATACAGTGGTGACATGAAAACTCTTTTGTTGGTGAGTTTTTTGAAATATAATTATGTCGAATTCAGAAATCCAATCAAATACAGTAACTTCAATAATCATAAACATCATAATATTTTATTCACATTCCTATCAAACGAGACTGGTTAAGAGAATAACTACTGCTTATTGCTATTACTTTATGGTTTACACAAAGGTTTAGGGATTTCTCGATTTGAACTTGCGAACAATAGACCAGACCTCTCTTCTACTCTGGAGTTTTCCTTGGACGCTGAAACGTTTTTGATTGTTTCAGACAAAATTATGTTTATTGGAAGTGAATCACGAATTAGCGATTACTACCACTATTCACGGTTTGTTTCCTGAACATTGGACATGAGAATGTCAGTGTACTCACTTTAACCCTCCCAAGATAGTAACTTTACGGAGCAGAGGCTTCTTCTCCTTCTTCAGTGCCTGAAAGTCGGAAAACCAGTTGAGATCGATCCCATCAGACAGGTTACACAATACTCGAGGTAATTCTCTGAACCATCCCCTGATTTATCTCTATCTTGGGAGAAGGCGGTGTAGTGGCAAGTCTACTCACACGTATGGTAACGGGATCGAATTCCCGGATCGATATCAGCCTAGGCCAACTAAGCCCGCGACCGGTCAATTGGTATTAGACTTGTCTGGGAGGGTAAACGTACTGACTTGCTCAGCGGCTGTCCACCGCATGTCATTGTAGAGCCCACATGCGCATTTTATACGCCGCTATACGAATCTTGATGAAAATCGAATACGGGGCACATCCTTCAGGCGGGATTGATTAACATTAAAAGACTTCAAAGGCTTTGAGACATTGTTGCTAATCGGCGGAGTTCTAACTAGGCCGACCAACCTTATCTAGAGTAACATTATTTAGGAAAGGCTTAAACTGATGTTGGGGTATCACCATCACCAGTAGGATCTTCGTTGGGCTCTCCTTTATATAATTAATCAGTATCGTTTTTTGTGTGTCAATGATAGGGACGGCTGAGGTGGTTTAGTGACAAGTGGCGCACTATCACACACGCGTGGTCACGAGTTCGAGTCCCGGACCGTAACTGCTAGACCAGCCAAGTCTTCCATTTCCTCTGGTTGGTCGATGGGTACCAGACTCGTCTAGAAAAAAAATTACTAACTTGTAAGTCGAGTGGCTACCGCAAGTTACATTGTATGAACCATATACGAATTTAATACTCCACCACGATTCTGAATTAAGGTCGACTGCGGGGCGCTTCCCTCAGACGATGTTCATTAACGCCGAAAGACTGTAATATTCTTTACTAATGATAGGATGCTGTAATTGTAAGATCGAAGAGGCATCTAGTGTCTAGGGTAGCTTGCAGGTGAAGACGTCTGAGTAATCGCAAAGTGCCCTGAGCAGACAGAAAGCTCAAACGTTGGGTCAAACCTCAGTAAAGATGCTGTTAAGGGGTTAGAAACAGCCGACGTTTACGTACTTCATCCCTTGATCCCTCGTCCCTAGCTCGACGACTGAAGCCATATCCAACGTTTAGTTATAGAATATAAGGAATATGACAAAATCAATGAGTGACCATATCATTAGTGCCGAATCGTGTGGATCGTAAATACTGAACAGTACTGTTAACTGCGAAACTTCTTTTTCTGATAGCGTCATTCCAATGTGACTGCGCATCGAAATCCATAATAAAACAACAGAACACATAAAACACTCGTTTATTTACTTGAAACCGCTCAAAATAGATTTCTTCGAGGGGGAAATGTCCTCCTTGTAAGGAAGATTCCAAGCAAGTGCAACGTACATAAAAATAGTAGGGACAACACGTCGTGTGTCAGTAACAACTGGAAATCTGGCAGGGTTTAATAGGTCCCGTGAATATGTAAGAGGCAGATCACAACGTTACCTTCAATCAACATTAGCTTAGTAAACAATATACTCGTAAATTAGAAGCGAAGACTGGGAAAGTGTGTAGAGTCCTCGTAATGTAAGGGGTAAGAAGGGTGTCCCGAAAGCAGAGGAGGCTTGAGTCGTGTACACGGCAAAATGTTCTTATAATTCAGTACTCTGGAGATAACACGTCCAGGGAGTGGTCTCATAAAAGGAGGGTAAGGTGCTTGGGGACTTGGATTCATTGCCCTAAGCCAAGAGCTATGTAATCTGGCTGGAGTAGCTATAACCTCTGGCGGAAGACAGAAGTCGAAAGAACATGATCACTGTTGTCAATGGTCCGCTTAAATAATTGAAGCGAGTAGACATTTCTGGTTAAGATTTGCCTCCAGTTTCAACTATTCGTGTGTTTGTGGGGCTCCTATCTCGATCGGGCATTACCGGTGAGCACCGCCACTGTATATCTGAAACGATGGATTACAGCGTAATCAGGACAGGATCTAAGAGTAGAGCTCGATGCTAGCCAACCTCAAACAACTTGTCGGTGGTATTTAGGCAATCACGTAATGAGGACTTCAAGTAATTCTGCCATATCTGAAAAACTAAGGTCGTACAGTACAACGATTTGTATAAAATGACGAGTAGAATTGCCACAGGGTAGCGAGAATTACATTGAGATGTTGAGTCAGAGGAGAACCAAAAAGTTGAACTAGAGAAGAATTAATGGTAAGAATCGAACACAGTGATGAAAGATGGCAAAACTGTGAAACCATGAGAAAAGGAATGCCAATAAGTTGATTAGATTCATTGATTTTCATATATCCATGCATCTGAACCAAATTCAAAGTCTGTTTTATCACTCAAAGTTGCAAAGCCTGCAAAGTCTTTTCTTCAGACTTCAAGGGTCGTGAATACTCAAAGTAAAACATTGACAGACGGCTTTTTGAAAAGTCTGAAGCCGTCGTTAAGAGGGTTCTAGAGAATAGTTAGTTTCCACTGTCTCTGATCGGTTTGGTAGTGTTTTGCTCCACAACAGAAAAGAGTTCGAGAAGGGACCGAACTCGAAAAATTGTTCCATTTTTGACCCAGCACTTCCTGCACTGCTCCATTAGTACTTTGCAGCGGACAATTCTGAACTTTGGTATCCAATCCCTCTGGAAACTAAACCGAAAGATTCCCTGTGGCTTCATTTTTCTATTTCATTGCTAAATAGTTGACTATTGTTATGTTGTTGTTTGTTATGTTGTTGTTTTGTTTGTTTAATAATGCTGCCACCAGAAAGTTACTTCACATTCAATTCTATTCGTTTCAATAGCGTTGATACTTGGAGACATGGGAGAGCTCAACCCTTAATGTATTAATTCAAAAAAGAGACCATTTTTAGAAATAACTTCTTTTCAATTTAGGCTCTCGTGATGGTCTCACAAAGCAAACCGAAATTCTTTGCACACCAAATTCACAACGCTATCAAGGTATGCTAATCTCAACCTTTCTTTTGGGAATATTTGGACTGAGACCCAGTAACAGTTGTCGATGTCCACAGCTCCCGTTGGTCGCTCCGCGGCAGGAGCGACGTCGCGGAGAAAAAGCAGTGCGGCAAGTAAGCAATACAAGCAACATTGGTACAAAAGAAGTACCACTAGAATTATGCCAAAAATAATAAGAGCATATCAATCGAGCCGTATGAAGAAGGCTAGAACTGAAATAGCGAGTCAACTAGTCCGCGATCGCCGCGTGCGGCGGATCGATAACATAGAACCGATTTACCTGCCCGTCTCCCCGTTTTTAGCCTACCCGCTAAGGAAAGAAAGTCGGCATTTCAAGAAATTGTGCTCCTTGAATAAGAAGGCAATACTCAGTTCAACGAGCTATTGACGTATCGACGTGGGCCCAGAAACTAGCTTTTTGGCTTCGAGGCTGTTGCAGCTTCTAAACACTAATCTTGTAGATTATGCCAAAACGATGTGATTATAGCCATATCAATGAAGTAACATCAGGCGATTTCCTCACCATAGAGCCCGCTCTTCGACCACGAATCCACTAACGGGTCAGCTAAATGAACCCTTTGTTATCCTCAATAAGTTCGTTCTTAGACATCTGACTTCGGTACTGATGGTCGTGAAATTATTGACTTCTAACTGACTCCCGAATACTCTAGGAGTGACAGTCTCACTGAAGTGTAGCCAAATGCGTAGACTCTATAAGCCAAAAGGAATACTTAGAACTTTGCAGTTTTAGCACGACACAGCGGTAGTGTGGAGTTTCTTTGTAAGTTCTATCAATCAGCCCCCTCCCCTCCTGTTTCTTTTGTAACTTCGTATATGAGCTGGCAGCCCAAAGGGAAAGAGATCTGCTGACATATGGAGCCGCCATCACATGCTCAGGCCAAGGATTAAATCCTGGATCAAATCCCGCTCAGGTCAACTAAGCCTTCTGTCCCTGAGGTTGGCTAATTGGTACGAGACTCGTCTGACAAGATAAAATAACTGGTTTACTCATTGGCTGACAAAGCACAGCCTGAAGCCCTCACGCTCTGATAATGATATGGTAGTTTTCCTTTCGGCTGAAGGGACTGTCCTGACGACTATTCAGGTAGCTTCCCTTGTTGAAGGGGAGTAAGATATTCTGGTACTCTAACCTCCCTTGACGGTTTGTTTCAGAAGCCTTCATTGATTTCTCTTGCGCAAAACCATGTTAGCATGGGCTCCGTTATTCCCCGTGCCGATCCCTCATTGTGGCCATCGCTTCCTGACGCCTCGAAATACGTAATTATAGTCTGTCACGCAGTGAAAAAAAATCAGTGGTAGCGGCGTTGGCCGACCCCGCTGTTGGGCCCGAGGATCGAACGCCGCAGCGTCGCAGTGCAGCCGGCGACCTTCGACAGCAATCTCCCAGATGGGTAATTGTGAAGACGAAAAAAACTGACCGCTAAACCGCGAACACCACCCGTTCTTTTCGTTCTCGCTCGTCAACAGAAAACCAACATAAAGCTGGGAATAACCATCAAAGGTTGCACTGATCGATAGAGGCCTTGAAAGTAAGAATAACAAAAGTGTTTCGACCTTGCTTTTGGAGAAAGGTTGACAGATGGGAATTCATTGATTATATATTTCAAGCGCTCCAAGTTATTGCCCGGTGGATGGTGTAGTGGCAAGTGCCGCACACACTCACGCTCACGCTCGTGTGATCAAATCCCCGGCAATATACCCACAGGTACCCAAGCCTTCTATCTTTCCGTGCTCGTTGAATTGGTACCAGACTCTCCTTGGAAGACAAAAATACTAATCCGAACAACGGTTTGTCGCTGCAAGTCTTTCTATAGGCTGCTCATTCATACACAACTACAATTCAGAACGGAAGTCGAATGCGGGGCGCATTCCAACAACGAGATCGGTTGATATTGAAAATACTTACATCTCTGACCAAACCACTGATAGCGGGTTTTTTCTTTTTGAACTTTTTGTGACACCGGATCCCCTTACCATAGTCATAGAAAATTAAAATAAATCAGACTCATTTCGACCGCTTTCCTTTTTTCGAGTAGCACTCGAACCCTACATTTTTCGATTTTAAAAATCGTTGCTGCAGATTGACTGAGGGAGCAGCCGATTCTCAAGCCTTGGATTAGCTTGGGCATATTTCAGATTAGAACCTCTCAAAATCTACGTTGAAAGGAACATGCTTAACGAAACCACCTTTTTGACAATCAAGACGATGCCGGTCGTATTTATTTATGCTTTCCAAAAATCAGAACATAAACATAAATCTGCCAATATCTATATAATTGGATGTCTAAGAATTGTGTCTGTGTCTATGGGTGGCCGCAGGTGGGCCTAATTATCCTGTCACCATAACATGGAAACGCATGAGAAGAAGGAGGTGGTCGTTCGTCTGGGCGCTGTCGCCTTCGGACAATTACTGTCCACTCAATGACTAGTTGCAATCTGTTCTAAATAAGATCGACAGGATTTTCTTTATCTCACCCTACCATTGAGACCCTTCAATAGTAAGAAGTATTAGAGCACTGGTCTGAGCTTGAGGGTTTGAAGACTGCTCTAATTCCCTTCTAAAGTCTGAAAGCAACCAAGGATTGCGTAGGAGGGAGGCGATACCATTTCAGAAACATACTTTCATTTTTTTCAATTCGCCGTCTTGCAACCCTCCCTCACAGCCTTCCGTCGAGATTATTCTCTATTTTTCTCATCCTTATGAAATAACGAAGGGAAGCAACTCAACGTAATGAAGATAACGATAATAAAGAGCTTCTGCATTGAATAGACATCTTCCTTCCTCCCCCCTCCCACCCTTGATGTCATCCCTTGATTCCACTGCAATTCAAGGCTACGATAGTCTAAAGAGCTGGTCCGACGAATTTTGTGAAGTAACATGACCCATCAAAACCTGGACAATTATAGCGAAAAGCAACTCACTCCATGACACTTCCACTCCAACGCTTCCTAAATCGCCTGTACCACAAATTCACCCCGTGACCTGTACGCACGGCGGGGTTTTTTTCGGTGTTTTGTGCTGCTGCAGGTGAGGTGGGTTGCGCAATCCGTAGATGAGGTGGGTAGATAAGGAACAGATGGACGAGCGAACTGCACAGACGCCCGTCGGGACAAGGTTGCTCATGGAATCGACTGGACAGATAATGAAAACCCTAGAGACATATTTTAGGGTCTGGGAGTTCGTGACAAAGATCTGATCCGTGTACTGGTCTCACGTGCTGAAACCGACTTGGCCACCATTCAAATGGAATACGAACGGCTTTTCAACAAATCCCTCGAACAGGTAGGTCAAGTTTCACCCAAATGGGTAAGGTTGAGCCTAGCATTGACGATTTCAGGTGATCCGCGACGAATGTAAAGGTGACTATCGAGACGCACTACTGCGCATCGTCAAAGGCAACAGAAGTCGCTACTGAAGTTCCACTAATTGTGCATCAACGAAATCCTGTAGACAGTTGCTTTCGCCCCTGATGGATATTCTTTCTTTTGCTGGATCTTTGCAAGATTTCACGCCGATCAAGTGCATACTGATTGTACTGTGATAAAAACCCGCTGACTTTCTTGATTGACCAGAATAGAACCGTTTAGGATTACTGATTCCAGAAATTTGCCTTAGCTCCGTTTGAGAACTCAATAAATGTTCTGGATGGTTGACTCCTGGACTTTTTTATTACAATTTCTTTCATTGCTCAATTAAGAGAAGGACGACCGCTGTAGAAAAATCAGCAGCCCCGGCTTATTCCAGGAAATGCATTAGGCAATATCTTCGATGGTACAGCACTGTGGAATTCTGATTTCTCTCTTTTGAGGTAGAAAAAGAAGCAATGACGCCTATAGAGAGTTCTCCCGTCCTTTTCGTAAAGCGGATGATTGTTATGACTCAAGCATTTGTTAGGCTCTAGAGGCAAATTTGATCACAATGAGGAGACGGGCAATGAGCATTAACTCTAATTTCGAAAGGAGACCGTAGGCGTGGCCAAAATCGCTTTGGACAGAATATCTGCTAACACATTGATATAAATTTTCGATTGAGTCAAGCAAAGATCGATATGAATTCGTTCTTCAAATTGACAAGAGCCATTTGGGTACAATCAAACAGTTCCTCCTCCTCGAACTCTTCATTATAATAGGCACTTACGGAAGTACTGGAACCGCATTAGCACTTCACAACTTCAGTAACTTCTGCATCATTATTTTAAGTCGTCAGTGCTATATTACAAATCGTGTTGGTGGACGTGACAAAGTGCTCAGAGAAACCCTTCATCGATATTCGCTACTAAATTGTATGTTTTTGAGAAAAAGATCTCATACAACCCTCCAAATCGACAACACTACCGCCCGGGACCAATCGCACCTACAGAATTCATTGTCTGTGCCGAATCACAGGATTAACCCCGACAAAGTCTGCGCCGCCGTTTTGAAGTACCGCTGACCATAAATGTTTCATGAAGGATTTCTTGAGTTACCCAGTGACAGACGGGATTCACACAGCCCTTTAGTTTACTGAGAAAAATGAAATCGGACTAGTTTCTCGAAATTATTGCCTTATCTGAAAAAGAAGCAGCCACCAGTTATCAATGTTCTGCTACGTCCCTAAGGGTCCCTTCTCACTGCTACTTCCGCAGTTAGCCTAGCAGACCTCACTGTAGGCCAAAGGTGAATGGCGGCTGTTTTGACTCGATGTTTTGTTGAAGGGATGTTATTTTGCCGCATTAAGCTCACCGAAAATCTCACTAGGCCAGCGATTTTGGGGCAAAACCTCAGTCGCGGACGGGACTCGAACCTAAATCGAAGTTTTGTTCGTGAATGCCAGTTCTTCTCATTTGGGCATTTTCGAATCTTTGCCACCTACAGTAACAACCCAAATGCTGTCTTCTACCCAGTAGAAACCTCTTACGGCCTTTGGTGCGAACTAACTTACCATATATCATTACGGTAGCCTCCCAGAGCCCACTTATCGAGGTAGCGAAGTTTCTTTCGCACATATGACGTCTACAAAGGAAATTGAGTGAATCAACAGGTATTCAACTCTATTACCACACCATTCAAGAAAAATCCAGCGGTTGTCCTATTGATTTTGAAGCACCGGAGAGGTTTGAAAGCTCCGGAAGCGCAATTTAGCGAGCACCTCGCGATCCCGTGCCCTACTGTGACTAACCCGTCCCTACCCTACAAGCACTAAGTCTTACTACTTGTTTACCTTCCAGTAAACCCACATGGTACAACGGCTTCCATTCCCGGCTAGTTCCGCTGAATTGACTACCAGTCATACCGGTAGCGATTGACTTTGTGATGTGACGGTAATGTGCTGCCGATCGTCGGCACATGCGACGGCGATAAATCGACGAGTCCGCAATCATGCGTGACGTCCCGTGCGCACGTTCAAAATGCCCCGATTGTTTGCAGACAGCCGAATGTTACAGTAACCTTGAAGTGGAGCCACAGTGGCGCGATAATCTGCCAAGTAGCACACGTCATCCGCGCATCACGACCTTGTTCTATGTAAACACATATACACACAACACAGACAACATCGGATACTGTAAGTGATAAGCAGTATACGGTATGTGTGTACAGAGCAGCAGAATTAGTTCGAGAAATGCAGTTCGACTGGTTTCTTCATAAACCAGGTTTGTTCAGAGGCTGTGAAGCGGATCCCTCCGAGTTTCCAACGGAGCGGGAGAGACAGACGATGCTGACGATCGTATTTTTCTTGGGGCTGGCCGGTGAGGAGGATCAGCAGAAGGGTCACATGGAAAAAGTAGCAAGATGAAAGGGTGAAAGCGGCGGCAACACAGTGGTCGAGGTGATTTACGAGTGCATTCAGTGGTCATGGCGCCTATGAAGTAACACTGGCCTCGTACGACGTAAGAACAAAGAAACGAAGTTTAAGTGGGGTAGTTGGGTTGAGGTGGGATAGTAGCAGAGGTGAGTGAGACCAATATGGACGGAGATGGCGCAAAGCAATCCAAGAACACATATTAGTTGGTTTTTCGTCATTAGCAGCCATTTCGGAAGCAACCTCAAGAAGAATTCGATCCCATTCCTTTTTCCACCCGTTATCCTCTCCTCTTGAATAACCTGGCAGGATAGGCAGGATGGCATGGGAACCACCTTTCGGACTTGTCGGAAACGTATGGTGTCGAGGAAAAACTTGCATTTCAACATCTGTCCTCAACCAAATGCTTCTGTCTTCTGCCTGGTACTTCTAGTGAAGCAACTCTGCCAGTCAGAACCCTACTGCGAATTGCTTCATGTTGAAGATCAAGCAGCTATTCTATCGCTGTTTTACCACGACTGCCGGACTGACTCTATCGAAAAAGGTAGGTGCAGAAACCTCCAACAGATTGGTGATGAACACTGATCGGAGGGAAACCTCGAAAAAGTAGTGAAGAGCTCATATGTAAAAAGATACCCGAGTGAATAAGGCAGTTACCATCTTTAGGAAAGGAAACTCGACGAGGCAATCCTTAGAAAAGAAGGCGTCAGAAGACGTGGGGTGAAGGTGTGCAACGACAAACTCTTCGATGAAGTAAGAAAAGATCGATAGCCTTAAAACAATTGAGGCGGAGAGAGAAAGAGACAGAAAGGAAAGACCGTTCATCTCGTTACCAGCTGTCATGAAGTCATTACTCATTTTGGAACGCCATTCAATAACAGGTGGCGTTAATGTTCTCCAGACACCAACAGTTTTCTTATTGTAGTCACAGCTACCTTCCTATGGAATCCTTTGTTCCTTCCGTTCATTTTTGAACCCTTTGTTTTGGTACCCACTTCGAGTGTCCGGCGTCCTTGCAGTGCTCTGTCATTTTCACTTGGCGCCCATGTCGCATCAAGTTGACTGAGCGATAACCATCTTCGCCCTGATGGGACGATTTTCGGCTTATCACCAAATTCGCACCTCATCAAGAGCAGCAGCAGTTCGCCGCCATGTATTCGTAATGATGATGGCATTGTTACCGAATGGCGGCTGCGGTATGGCTGCTACGACATGGTTAAGTGAGTGTCAAGTGCACTTAGGGACCACTACAGACCCCTTACTGAGACGATTAGCTCTCTAATCCCATGGGGGTCAGTTAGGACGCCCGATGATACTGGCAGTCCCGTCGTTGTCGACGTCCTCGTGCTTGCGTGCTTGTCCCGTCGGCGCTTGACGAGCCGAGCCGCTAGGCGACGATTGAGCCGCAACGACGGAAGTTTGCCATCGTAATTACTACCGGTCCAGCATATTGATAGGTTTAGTCAAGGCTGGCGAGAACGAATCGATCGGGAATACAGGGTTTTGCAGAAATATCTGACGATGTGGATAACTAGTAGTTAGTGGCATGGGAAATAAGAACTTCTGTAATCAGAAGAAACAAAACCACCGTAACCGAAAAAATCAGTGTGGAAAATCCACAAAACCACCGTAATCGAAAAAATCAATTCATTAGATTCCGCTCCATGGAGTTGCGGCTACCTTCATAGTGAAGTACTTCCAACAAAAGCCTTCCAGCCAAATAATTCTTCCCAACGTTCAGTTGCGAATTCCCCTGCTTAGAGGTCCAAGTCTCCTTTCCTAGATTCTTCCCCTGAAGACCTCTGGTTTCTACAACTTCTTACAACTAAATCAGAGGGTTGTGGATATGCACTGCACAAACCTTGC